CATCTTTTCAAATCCAGGAGATCAAAAGAGTACAGTTTCCTAAGCAAATTGACTGAGGTCTATCTGCCTTGGGGAAAGAGGATAAGAAATCGTTAGATGGCCTCCCTCAATTTTGGAAGAGTGTCTCCTGACCCAGCTCTGATCCTCTTGTGTCCTCTCCATGCTGTCTGTCTGCCTGCTCAGGGCACAGATCATGATCACCACAAGAAAAGTTCATGGTTATGGATATAGACCTTACCTTGATTGGGGTGGCAGTTAAACAACTGTAACGATATATGTATCAACTATTCTTAGAACTGTAGACTTAAAAAAGAGTGCATTTTACCCTATGTAAATTATACTTCAATAAAAACAGATTTAAAAACATCACAGCCCCCTCAGAATGGCTAAAAAATTACTGATGTAAAAAAATTTTTTAAAACCAAAAAGAAGCTCCCCTCCTTCCAAAACAACTCTGCATCAGCCTTCTTATCTTCCTTCTTTGTCATTTGGTCACCACCTGAATGGTGACCCTTCCTCTGGGCCAGGTACTGAACAGTTACAGGTAGATCCTATTGTTCTGCCCTTTAGGCAGGGCCATGTTGCTTTTCTGCAGTCACACTGAGCTGGTAAATGGATGTTCTCTCCCTGGTCTGCAAGTCTCTGAGTCTAGTCTCTTATTCCTCCCACCACATGTCAACATTGTGCCAGAACTGCATTTGGGCAGCCCCAAGTTATTTCAACTCAGTCATTTTAGCCCCTCACTTCAGAGTGGATGCCCATGGTGTCTTTTGATAATAGGAAGCCATAGGTTTTATTTATTTAGCAGAGTCAGTACTCCCATTCAAGGCAACACAGTTAATGATTTTGGATTTAAAAAAATATTGGTTCTCCCCCATTTCAAAAATACCCTTTCTTATTGGACACTAAATCGATGTATTCATATGACTGAAGACACTGACTTCCCAGTAGATACAAAGTCGCTAAATGTTGAAATGAAAAGGACAGTCAGGATCCTCTTGCTGTCCTCCCCTTTAAAGTAAAATGCATATTTGTATGCCCTTGTTCACAAGGACTCAAAAGTTGGTAGATTTCTTTGCCAGGTAGACCAAGACTGTCATTAGACCTTGTCACTGCTGCCCCATGGCAAAGTCCCACATCCTCAAGGGGGCTTATGAGGCACTGCTGATCTGTGTCTACCAACTCCACTAGCTGGCTGGGCATCATTCACAGACTCTTTGCACATACTGTCCCTTCTGCTGAGAGAACTTCACACCTTTCACCGAACTCCTTTTTTCTGGTTAATTCTTATGCAGCCATTTCAGGGGGAAGGCTGCCCCAAGACAAGGTCATTTTCTTTTAGGGTATCATCTCATTAAAAATAGATTCTTTTCTCATGTATTTTTATTTCAGTTGCACTCTCAGTTCTGTGCTTATCAGATTAATGTCAATCTTTTACTACTATTCAACCTCCAAGCTTCATGAGGGCAAGGGCACTTCAGCGGAGGCTCCCCCTGAACCTCAAAGCTGCTGCATTTTCAGAAGGAAGCAGAACTCAGCATGCTACATTCACACATGCCCACTTGCACACAAACTCACCTACTTGCCCACCTGCACACACATCCAAAGAGTAGAGTGTCAAGTGTACATGATGCAGTTTGTGGTGGGCAGCACTGTAGAGTTGTGACAGAAGACAGAATCTTAGGATTTTGACATTTCTGCTTAAGGGATTTGAGGCTATTCTGTCATACACTTAGGGTAAGGGAGTGTGAGAGATAGGGATGATTTGCAACTGACAGCTTGTCAGAGAAAGACTTCCACACCCAAATTCTTGGGGATTTGCCCAGTCACTGCTCAGGCTTCTTTGTCTGATTTCTGAGGTAGCACAGCCAATACATGCCACCTATGCTTGTTTTTTCTGTCCAAATCAGCCTTTAACACCTAATGGTTCTAGGTAAGATGTTTTTAATGAAAATGATGCCAGAATTTAAAAGTTACTATAAAAACAGCACTCATCTTGGCTCATTTACATAGTGCTGACAAATGGGGCAAGAAGTCCAATGAGTGACTCTGTGCCATGTCAAAATATCCTCCCAACCATCTGTAAAAACTAAACACCTGGCTTGTCACTTGACAGTAAATTAAATGTAATTTTAAAAGGCAAAGCAAGTTTACTGATTGAGAGGTGCTTGAAAACTGTTTTTTCCTGTGATAAAAAATAAATGCTTTCACTCATGTTGCAGCTAAATGCTGGTCCTCCTGGTACATGACGGTCAAAGCAACTTCGCAGCCATTACCAGGCAGATGAAACATGTTAGTGCCCTCAGTACCTTGGCTGCCTCCATCACTGACCTAAATTCACAGCAGTCTTGCTGCACAGGAACCACAAGGGAGGGCTTTATGGTTTTGCTTTTCTGCTGCTGAGTCATTCATCACCAGGAACTGAGAAGGCTCTGCAGCTGAGGAAGAGAACAGCTAATGTGACTCCACCCTGGCCCCCTTTCCTGTGTGATTTATTGCTATAGGACCAAGGGCAGTGCTAATGCTCATTTTTAACAGGTGATAGAGAATATATTAAGCATAAGGAAATGCTGTCTTCAGCCTCGCCTTGTCTCAGTTAACATGTCTTGCCAGTGTCTTTGAGAAAGCAGTTTATAATTGGAAAAAAGTCGAAACTCACAGCCTTCCTTTGTGTATAATTGAGGTGGGAAGCTGAGGTTTAGAGAGAGCAAGTCACTGCTTATGGGGCCTGGCTGTTGCAGAAGTCCTTGCCTCCTTGTGATTTTTATTTCCATCTCCTAAGGCTGTCTCTCCTTCAAACATCCCTAACAATGTTAAAAAGGTTGCATTTTAAAATACTCAACCAAGCATGAGTGTTGGCAAGACCACTAGTCAGTACCTCATCTTGTTCATCAGAGAGTTTGCCCTGTGAAAGTTGCTGTGCCACACTGAAGAGAAGCACCCCAACCCCACCCAGGGTGGAGAAAGCCCAGAAGCCCATGCTCATTTCAGACCATTCCCAGTGCTAGAACCCCTTGCCTCACTGCCATCGGCCTGAGGTGTCCTTGCAGCTCAGTTCAACCACATTAATCAAGTGCCCACTGTGCCAGTCTCTGTCTGGCACTGGGAAACAAATAGTTCAGTTGTAAAGACTGCAAAGAAGTTATGGTTAAACAAGGGACACAGGCAGTAGCCCTGACATACTTCAGACTCCCCAGGTAACTCCAGTGTTTACTGACAAGTTAGGGATGGCTCATATATAAGTGTGTTTACATGTGCATGCACATGTGCCTGCATGTGTATTTTCAGGTTCAAGGTGTTCTGCATCTTAGTTAGGAGATTCTAATCCATAGCCATGTCTCCAGCATTTTGCTTTTTCATTCAATAAGTGATAAGTTGAAATATACAATGTGGAAAAAGCACAGGGTTTGACCTCTGAGAGTCACTATGTGCTAGTACTAGAAGGAGCACCTGATTTACAGGCAGAACTGTGAAGACTCTGGGACTGAATCTTACCTGGGTCATATGACACCTGTATCTCGGACCAGACCTCTGTTCTCCTGCCAGTTTCCCATATACCAGGCACCTGCTCACATCTGGTAAAATGCTGAATTTGGCTGGAATATTTCAAGAAGGACCTTTGTCTGCCTCTCTCTCGCTCAAAGAGGAGCTGCCCTGCCCCATGGTGTAATCAGAGCATACCCTCAGGCTGCCCTCCTGGACCTGCCTTGGTGATCTTCTTCAGCCTCCCAGCAGCTCCTCTGTGTCTAACTTGGACCACTTACTGGCTGCCTGAGAAGGCCCAGTACAGGCAACGTCTACCAGGCCAGTGGTATGTTTTCTCTGAAACCCTCCTGCTGGGAAATGTCAGTTCTAGAAACTGGCCACTAGGAAGAGAAGAAGAAAGCACTCTTTTCAGCTGTCCTCCCCAATCCCCCATATCTTCCTCTCATCATCAGGACCAGGCCAACCAAACCCAGAAGTCTCATTTGCTATGCTAAGCCAGCTGGAGTCTCTTACATAGCACTGCATTCATGTTTAATGGGATGTTTTCACTCCAAATTCCATCATATGCATTGCAAGCATTTCCTCAGTGCTCACCTCTGCTTTTATCAGAAAGCAGGACTTTTAAGCTGCTCTTAAGCTGACTTTTTCTTTTGGGTAAAGATAATTTATCATTGGGTTAACATCAGGCAAAAAATTATGGCCTTTTATTGTGTTTGGTCTACATGTTTATTATCAGGATCTGGCTGATGTTTTACTAAATGTTGACTTTTGTTAGCAAGGGTGATAAATTAGCAGCCTTCTCTATCCAAAATCTGGGCTGATTTCCACCTGCATTCTCGGGCCTTCTCACCTCTTCCACTGGCTGCCCTCCAACTCACCAGTTAGGATTGGAAGCTCCTAATTAAGATGCAGACCCCTTGAACCTGAAAATACACATGTAGGCACATGTGTAAGCACATGTAAACACCACCACAGTATAAACTTCCACCTTCATGAGATATGTGCTGTCACAGAAAAGGGTCAGGGCTAAATAAAGAAAGAAAGAAAGAAAAGAAGAAAAGAAATCACATCATAGGAACTAGATGAATTCATCTTCTCCATTTTTTTAATTACTGACCTGGATTTTTTTTGCCTTATAACAACCTCCATGTAAGGTCTCTCCAAATCTTTTCTACTCACAGGAAGGCTGCTACTGGCCTAGGACAACTGAAGTGACACTTGTGATTGTAAGCAGGCATTGGGCCTGGGGATGACAGAGCCCGTTTCTCCTAGACCAGTTCTCAAAGGAATCCTATCTCCACAGAAGTGCCCTTCTGAGAGCCAGAGTTCTGGGGAAAGGAGAAAGCAGAGGAGTTCTGATGCGTTTGGAGCTGGTGCCCAGACTGGAAGGTGGCCACAGGGGAAAGAGATCGTGGTTCTTAGGTGAACATCCAGGAGAGGCAGTCTGCTGAGATAGAAGGGTGGTGCAGACCACCTTGGAGTGGCTACACTGAGTAGGTGGTAAAAAGGACTCTTCAGACTGTGGTGGTACTGGTGAGGGGCACCTACTTGCAACTGGGTTCTGGCTGCATGGGTTCCTGTTGTCAGGGAGTGGGGAACATGTGCATTCTGGCCTACCTCTGCTCTTGAGAGCAGTGGCATAGTAGTCCAGGGGCTCTTCCTTAGCACTTCCAGCAGCATCCAGGAGGCAGCAGCACAAGCAGAGAACCTGCTGGAAAGAATGGCAGAAGTTGTCAGGGAGGATGCCATAGAGGATGGGATTGGCACAGCTGTTGGCATAGCTGAGAATGAGGGACACATGGTTGATCGTGTCATCAGGTTGGTCACACTTTCATTAGCTGCACCACATAGAAAGACATCCAGCAAAGCACAAAGACAGCCACCACCATCAGCACCAGCCACTTGATCTCTGAGCATCTCTGCTGCTGTCAGGCAGCCCCTAAGGCCACTGCCAGCATCTTACCCATGATAAGCACTTAGCACAGGCTGATGGTCAGGCCCAGCAACAGGGAGGCCAACAGGAAAGTATAGATCATGTAGACCACCCACCAGGCTGAGTGTGGTCAGTGCAGGTTCCAGGCCAAGGCCAGGCTGCTCTGAGCCAGCGTGGCATCTGGAAGATGGCAGTGGTCAGGATCACCAGCAAGGATGACAGCCACATACCCAAATTAATCAGCTTGGCCATGCTGGGCTGCCGGTATGTGTCTGTGAGCAGAGGGTAGGTCCACAATGAACATTTAAGGCAGAAGACACTCATGAACATGTTGAGGACGTCCATGCCTAGCACCACATGGTACCCCACAGCGCCGGCCCGAAAGGACAGTGGCACAGGACAGCAGACAGGCCATAAAGAGTAAGCTCAGCATGAAGAGTTCATGAGAGATGGCTAGGTTCAGGAGGTAGATATTGGTGGCTGACTTCATCTTGATGTAGAGGAGGATGAGGATGACCAGTGCATTGCCCACCAGACCCACCAGGCAGACAGCATAGATGCACTGGATGATGACCATGCTCGCTGCCCACACATACCTTGTTTCTATCACCAGCAACTCTACTGTGGGACACCGCTAGAGCCTGCCACCTGGAGTCAGGCTGTCCCTGGGGATCCTCATAACCGAGAGTGCCAGCCTAGGGCAGCAGGAGAATGGTGAGAGGCAATGAGCAGGCGGCTGGGCAAAGACTCCTGTGCAGATGCGCTAAGGTCTCCCTGCTCTGCCTAAATAGGGGATTCTGAGGACCTGTGCTCCCCCGGGTTTCCTCATCTTCACTGCCACCGCCCCTCAGCTCCTCCTGTCCCTGGCTTCACCGGGATCCAGATGGTGCCCCAGGTCCTGCCCAGACTTGGACGGGTCTCCCATTTTCGCTGCTCTTCACCCCAGATCTTGCCTTCTCCAGGCCTTTGAAGACCACTCCCTTCACCTCCCTGGCTCTGCTTTTGGGGACTAGCAGCCATGTAGCTGGGGATCCCCAAGTCCTCCCTTTCAGCAAAGAGGCACCCAGGATGGCAGGGGGCTAACCTCACAGTAAAGAGCCAAATGCTCTTGCATTTGACATCATCCCGCTCTCTGCCTCATCCCCTGTCCCTTTAAATCCCAGGAAGACAAGCTGGGTCTACCCCATCGCTAAACTCACTTTATAGAAACATGACAGCAGAACCTGAGGCTTCTACTTATGTATGGGAGTTCCTGGTCTGTCCTGGCTCCAGCCTCCATCTACCTGTGCTCCGAGTCTTGGCAAATCCCGGGACCTTCTCAGGTAGATTTTGGTGTGTTTGAGATGGGATGGGCACAGAGAATGGAGATAAGTACAAGGAGGTAGAGATGCCACAAAAAAAGGCCAACCTCTGACCCAGCTGCTCCTTGCACGCTTTAATAGTGGCAGCGGGCACTAGAATCACGTGTTTGAAAATCTCCACCAGGGTCTCTGAAATGTGCCTGGGGAGAGGGCAATCTGAAAGGGTTGGAGTTCAGGTCTTTGTTTCCTCCTGCCTCAAACTCCAGAGAATGTGAATTCACACCTGGGGCTGGACTACTCTGGGCTGGACAACCCAGCCTGCAGCCACCTCTCCCTATCTCTGCTCCCTCCAATCCTAGCCATAGCTAGTTGGCAAAAGGTTCAGGAAAATTGAAGTTGGGATTTGCCTTGGAAAAGTATCCCAAGGGTGGAATTGTCCCTTCAGACCTCAGGACTGTGGGGTTATGGCCTGTTTGATCGTCCAACACAGTCTTGAAAAGCCTTTCATAACTCTGGAAGTGGCTCCCAGGCCCCCAGGATTGGGATCCAAGCTCTTATGCTGGGTGGCTTGGGGGGGACATCAGGATGCTTGAGGCCAGCTTGAGGTAACCCTTCAGAGGAGGTGCTGAAGTCTTCCCACTGCTATTCATCCAGGCCTTATTTGGAGGTAGAGGGTAGTGCAGGTATGATCAGCACTTGTGTAACACAGTAGATGACCCCAATCACTCTCTCCAGTTTCTGCCACCCAAAAGGACTCATTTACCAGATTTGTCCTAACAGTCCCCCTCTCCCTTATGGATGCTCCTTAAATAAGTCTTGTCCTTTCTTTTGGCCCTATTTTCATCTTTGCTTCTAAAGGAGAAACCCTTGTGAGGAAGAAGATGGTGGCTTTGTCATTCTAGATGATGCAAGGATTTGGGGGAGAGGCCAAGGAGAACCTCAGATTTGGGTGTAAGGAGGAATATAGAGCTTTTTCCTTGAAGCCTACACTAGAGGAGACCCTTAAATGGCCTCTCTACCAAGAGTCCCCTCTGGACCCAATGTGGAGGTGTCCCAGGGCTATTCCAAACTCCAGGATACCTCACTTCTGTTGTCCTCTCTGTCCATTTAATGGCCAGACTCCTCCCTTCCATAGAACGTATTTCTTGTAGTTCTTCTAATCATGTGAACCTTTGAAATCTTCCCATCTGTACTTTAGAAAGTTATCCCCCTAACATTTCCTGATTCTCTCCCTCTCCCCCTCCCACCACATACATATATATTGCAGCAATTTAAGCTAGCATTTAATAAGGTATATATGTGTCACTGTTTTCCATCATTAATAGAAAGCAGTCCACATTGAGTGTGACACATGCCCTCATGGGAACATCCAAATCCAGCATTTCTGGAATTCTGGGGAGAGGGAGACTGAGCATTCATTCATTCATTCATTCAACAAATGATAATGTAAATAATGCACAGATTGCATCACTATGAGATTTGCAGGGCTGCAGGGACCTTGGATTTTCTCCACTATCCAGGAAGGCATATAGAAAAGGGCCTGGCATCACAGAGGAAGAGTAGCAGTGGTGAGAGCTATAGAAGGCTTCACAGAGAAGGTGACAAAGAGCAGAAGATGGCCATGGCAGTGAGGAAAAAACTGGCCTCTGGGGAGAGAAGTTGTCAAAGCAGACCCTGCTAGGGGCCTAGGGAATGGGGTGCAATGGGGCAGCAGTATTGGGTACCTGGCATGGCAGTGGAATGTCATGAGCAAAGATGAGGATTGTTGTGGCTGCAACAGACTGGTGGTACCTTGTGTGCCCAGTGGAGGCCTAGGATCGTCACCCAAAGCTGTGGAAAAACAGAGAACCTAGATAAGACAGGGTGTCAGGGTCAGAATTGGTGTGTATGTAGCTCTCTGTTGAGGGTCCAGGCCCATCAGGTCTGCACAGGGAGCCTTTGGGGCTGTTGCAAGAGTGTAGCCCAGAGCTCTGTGCTTGCACCAGGACTGCTGCAGTGGGGACCAGAGTGGGGTAGGTCTGGGGCATTCTAGGCCCACATGGGTCAGACAGGGCAGGGCCTAGCAGTGTTGTGATATTGAAACTAGGCTACCTGGTTCAAATCTAGCTCTGCCTCTTACCAGATATTCAATGTTGGACAAGTTCCTCAGTTTCTTTATGCCTCAGTTTCCACATCTGGAAAGTGAGCCTGATGATAGTAAGTACCTGTTTGAGTGCTGTGAGGATCCATCACATTGGAACAAATGCAGTGACTAGAAGAGTACCTGGTTGTAGGCAACACTCAGTTAGCATTAGCTGTCCTGGTGATTTCTTTTTCTACCTTTCTTTGGGTAGCCTTAAAGGAACAATCTGGAAAATAAGACTTGAGATCTGCTGCCCTCACATGTCCCCACACTGTTTCAGTTTCCACTGGTTGGCTGCCTTCAGAGGACAAAGGTTAAAAGAAATGATGTAGACCATTGATAACCTACTGTGCATCATTATTGCTTTTGTTGTTATCTGTGTATAGATTTCTACTGATGGTATTTTCAAATCTAACCTGCATTTAAAGCAATTGTGAGATATATTAGAAAAACATTTTTATTATCTCAACTTTGTAGAAATGACCAAGACAGAGCAAGCTTTGCTGACAGGCTTACCCCTTTCTGCCTTGACTCACACCTTGATAATGGGTTATGCTCAAATCAGATTATTTTGGGAGTAAAAGATCTAGTAGTAATTATGCTGTCCAGGCAAACCAGGGCATATGGGTACTCTAATAAGGGGAGACTCTCCATTTTAATTTTATACATTACTATATTAAGTGGTGTAAAAATTAATTTGTTAAGCACTGGATTAATTTATAAGGCTGTCACTGCCCTCCCCAGAATATCATCCAGAAAGGGTTTAGTAGAGGTAAAGTTGGAGTGTGAACTTCACTGACAATACCAGGAACTGCTGGAGGTTAAACTGAAATGTCCTGTGTCTAAAGCTCAGAGAAGAGAATCATACTGTTTTCAAAAATACTCTTTCACAACTTTTCTGTTTAGGTTGGAATCAGAGAAGCTTTTGAGATGCAGACTACTTAAGCAACTGTGGATTCTCCAGAGAGTGAGCAATTGGGTTGCTTGACTCACTCCTGAGATGAGTATAGAAGTGGACATGTGAGGTAATGTTTGGTTCATTCTGAGAAGGACACTCTTCTACCTGTCCCATTTCCCTAGTTTGCTCCTCTACAATGTCTCAAAATCTAGGCCTGGGTCAAGAGTAAGGTGTAGAGATTGATAAAAGTATCTTAGATTTTAAAAGTTACTAAAATAAGGGAAGAGTTGAATGGATACCAAGGGTCACTGCCCTCAACACAGAATCATAATAATGACAAAACTGTATGCACCTAAAGAATCGGAGATTGGAAAATTCAGGGCTGATCAAGAAGTTCTTCCCCAAAGTCAAGGAACAATCATAAGGCTTAGTTACTAGGAGTTTGTATGCAGCTGATGGTAGGAGGGTGGGGAAGGTGATTTTTGAACACCAGGCATTTTTGGAGACAGCATAGTGTGTGGGCTAAATAAGCTGACATGTGAAATAGAACAATACTTGTCACCAATAAGTATTATATGTGTTATGATTAACATCCCCAACCAGGTTCTCTGGTGCTTGGTAGGTCAAAGCTCCTGGGACTATCTGTTTTTGCCCCAAGCATGCTGACAGTAAGCAGTGGACCCTTTTTCTCAAAGTTCGTGGGCTGGACAGAGCATGAGTCACTCCTGGAGAGGCCTGGCGCAGAACCTGCTTACACTGCCACAGGAGAGAAGGCTTCATCCCTCACTGGATCATGACAGAGGATCTGACACAGCCTCAACTTCCAGGCACAGGTGCCCTGCACAGGTTGCAAGTTGGTTCTGCTGGGGAAATTCACAAATGTTGATGCCTGGGACCTGTCCCCAGACACTCTGAGTTACTTGGTCTAGAGGGACACCCTGGCATCTGAATATTTTGAAGATTCTCCAAATAATTGTAGAGGGCACCAATGTAACATTTAACTAAATGGAATTATATAGAGGCAGGAAGCCTGGGGGCCACAGTGTGTAGAAATCATGCTCCCAGGACAGCTGCAGGAAGAGACCAGGAGAAACATCTGGGAAACCAAACAGAGGCCTCTCTGCTCAGAGGAGCTGAGAGATACAGAAAGGTGAGATTCACCCCTCCTCCACTCCTCTTCCCCACCACCACAAGAAGGGAAGAAACTTGGAGAGCTGGGCCTTCAAAGCCATCCTCTCCTAAGCCACTGAGTATGC